GTTATTTTTAATTACATTACCTAACAGAATACTCCATTGTACTGAATGCTCAGCAACATAGTAAATGACCATATGACCTGTCTTTGAAATACTCATTTGTGCTTAATTGTTAACTGTTTACAACAATGTTTACCACTGAATATATCATTGCTTAGTTAATCTTAAGTTAATTTTAAGCCTGCCCATAATGCTCTGCATACAAGGAGCTTTGGCATGTTACACTTAACCACTGTATTTCCTTGTACTTCTATGTATCGTGTTCAAATTAATAAATAAATAAATAAATACTCTAGGTAAGACGCTCTAGGTAACACAATCTAGGTAACACACTCTAGGTAAGACACTCTAGGTAAGAAACTCTAGGTAACATACTCATGGTAAGACACTCTAGGTAACACACTCTAGGTAAGATACTCTAGGTAACACACTCTAGGTAACATACACTAGGTAAGGCACTCTATGTAATACACTCTAGATAACACACTCAAGGTAAGACACTCTAGGTAACACTATGTAACATAGTCTTGGTAAGACACTCTAGGTAAGACATTCTAGGTAAGACACTCTAGGTAAGACACTCTAAGTAACACACTCTAGGTAAGTCACTCTACGTAAGACACTCTAGGTAACACACTCTAGGTAACACACTCATGGTAAAACACACTAAGACACTCTAGGTAGCACACTCTACATAACACACTCTAGGTAACACACTCTACGTAAGACACTGTACGTAAGAAAGTCTAGGTAAGATACTCTAGGTAAGAAACTCTAGGTAAGGCACGCTAGGTAACACACTCTAGGTAATACACTCTAGGTAACACTCTAGGTAAGACACTCCAAGTAAGACACTCTATGTAACATACTCTAAGTAACATACGCTAGTAGCACACTCTAGGTAAGACACTCGGTAAGACAGTGTAGGTAACACATTCTAGGTAACATACTCTAGGTAACACACTCCAGATAACACACTCTAGGTAAGACATTCTAGGTAAGACACTCTGAGTGAGATACTCTAGGTAACATACTCTAAGTAACTTACTCTAGGTAATACACTCTAGGTAACATACACTAGATAATACACTTAAGGTAACATACTCTAGGTAACACACTCTAAGTAAGACAATGTAGGTAATACACTCTAGGTAACACACTCTAGGTATCATACTCTAGATAAGACATTGTAGGCAACACATTCCAGGTAACATGCTCTAGGTAAGACACTCTAGGTAGGAAACTCTAGGTAACACACTTTTAATAAGACACTCTAGGTAAGACACTCTAAGTAAGATACTGTAGGTAACACACTCTTGGTAACACACTCTAGGTAACATACGCTAGGTAAGACACTCTAGGAAGTACACTCTAGATAGCACACTCTAGGTAACACACTCTAGGTAACATACTCTAGGTAAGACACTCTAGGTAACACACTCTAGGTAACACACTCTAGGTAACACACTCTAGGTAACATACACTAGGTAAGACACTCTAGGTAACACACTCTAGGTAAGACACTCTCGGTAACATACTCTAGGTAACACACTCTAGGTAAGACACTCTAGGTAACAGACTCTATGTAACATACACTAGGTAAGACACTCTTGGTAACACACTCTAGATAAGACACTCTAGGTAACATACTCTAGGTGCTTCTGAAGAAATGTTGAAACTGTTTAATTTTATGAGCCAAAATATTGATGAGTGTGATTGCCTCTTTACCGAGTATGAATTAGACAATGCATTAACATAAGGTCGATCAACTGCTCCTGGAGAGAATGATGTAAACTATGATATTCTCAGAACTCTAAGGCGCGTTCCTGATAACCCCCTTTGTTGGCACTCTATAGTACCAGTTACATTGGGAGTTCTTCCTACTTCCTGGACCAACTGTCTCACTGTGCCTATCCATAAGCCCCAACAGCCTGATACATTTAGATCGATCTCCTTAACCAGTTGCTTTTGTAAAACTTTTGAAAGAATGATACTTAACAGACTGTACTACAGAATCAGACACCAACTTTCCCCCACCTCTATGGGTTCATGAAAGGTAAAAGTGTGCAGAACTGTATTTCCACCTTTCTTAGTTTTACCACATTTCTTGGTCTAAAATATGCATTTGATATCGCGAACAGAACCGTTATATTACATGAAGCCAAAATGAATATTGGTGGTAGCTTACTCTGCTGGATAATAGGATACCTGTCAAATAGAGTATCCTCTGTCCTCTGCCAAGGTTTTAGAAGAGAGTCTAAAGAAATATCCCTAGGTACACCGCAGGGAGGAGTTCTCAGTCCCAAGCTGTTTAATATTCTGATTAATGCTCTCCTAAATGCTCTACTTGCCTCACCTAAACATATAGCTATAAGCTATACTGATGACATCATGATCCATAAAACAGGGCATAAGAAGATGAGTACCATTCTTAATAAAGTTCAATCAATTTGTAATCGACTAGTTCTCATAATATCTTCCTCTAAAACAAAGATATTAACAAGCAAACGACATCCCTCACCCATCTATTTACAGGGTGAAAAAATCAGCTACATTAAAACTTACAGATATCTTGGTGTAGATGTACCCTTTAACAAATCCACTATACCACAACTAATAAGAAATGCAAAGATAGGCTAAATGCTCTCAAAGCTGTTGCTGGCTACAACCCCAACTATGGTGCTAATGTGAGAATCGTGAGAATGATGTACATAGCCTATGTTAGGTCCTTAATTGATTATGCTGCTCCCATGTTGATATTAGCTAGAGAAAGTTCTCCCCGACCCTTGGAGTTAATGCATAATGGTGTCAGAATTATTCTTGGTTGTCCCAAATCTACAAAGATTCTTAACATGAGGGATGAAGGAGCTTGGTATTTCTAGTATCAGTGATAGGATTGTTGAGATTAACACTGTACTCGGTATTAGAATGTTAAGAAGTGAACCAGACACTGTCACTATGAATCTTACTAAGTGTCTAGAAGTAAATACACACAGATCTAAATAGATTGTGAAAACGTCTTCTGGCAGGGCTGCATCTGCTCTTGTTGCCACCTCCCTAGTTAAGAACGATAATAAATTTGTTGAACTAGGCATAAGAATTAACAACTGGGAGCCTACACTGCAAAATGAATTGTTTGCGATCTTAATGACGCTAAAGCTAACTTATGACACTGAGCTTGACTCTATCATCATTACTGATTCTACATCATCACTGAATGCTCTTGACTCATATAATGACTCCAACAACATGCTCAGTGGAGAAGCCAGGTACAGATACTCAAACATCCCGGACAAAGGAATTAATGTACAATTGCTATGAATCCCATCACACATTGGATTACTCCTTCATGATAAAGTTGATTTGTTAGCCAAGAAGAGTACCCAGAAGGAGAATGTAGAATATAACTTTGGTATGTCTGTGTCTAGCATTAGGAATAATATTATGAAAAAAGTAAATAATAAAAGTGATTGTTATAGGAATGCAGTTAGAAGCCTGAGTAGATCTATAACCTACCATGATAACATGAACGTAGATAAGTATGTTTATGGAGCAACTTGCAATGTGAACAGACTGACTGATGTTGTAGTGGCCAGGCTTAGGCTTGGTTACAAGTACTTCTGGCAGTTTGGGAGACACACGGATGATGATCAAACTAAATGTAAATTATGTGATCAGGCATATGGTCACTCTCTTGAACACTTTGTGCTTAATTGTCCACTTATTGAGGAATACAGAGATAGACAGTATAATAACCTATGTGACATGTCAAGATATCTTATTAATGAAAATAAGATACCAGATATACTAAGCAAATTTCCTAAATTTGCTTGTAACAGATAAATGAACTGTAGATATGTAGATATAAATCCTTATGTACACCTGTTAACCCTTTGGACCTAGTTCATAGGCCTTTTGTGTGTCCATATGCTCTTGCGCTACCGTCCACAGGATGGATATGGGGTGCACAATAAACTAGCCACTTCGGTGGCAAACTGTAAAAAAAAAAAAAAAAAAAAAAGAAACCATAAGTAAGACACTCTACGTAATACACTCTAGGTAAGACACTCTAGGTAACACACTCTAGGTAACACACTCTAGGTGGAAATTTATGGTATCAAATACCGACACAATGGAAATATAAACACACATGCAGTATAATGTGATCCTTTATTGACAACGTTTCACCCACACAGTGGGCTTTTTTTAAGTCACACACAGATCTGTGTGTGACTTGAAAAAGCCCACTGTGTGGGTGAAACGTTGTGTATAAAGGATCACATTATACTGCATATGTGTTTATATTTCCACACTCTAGGTAACACACTCTAGGCAAGACACTCTACGTAACACTCTAGGTAAGACACTCTAGGTAAGACACTCTAGGTAGCACACTCTAGGTAAGACACTCTAGGTAAGACACTCTAGGTAGCACACTCTAGGTAAGACACTCTAGGTAAGACACTCTAGGTAGCACACTCTAGGTAAGACACTCTAGGTAAGACACTCTAGGTAAAACACTCTAGGTAACACTCTAGGTAAGACACTCTAGGTAGCACACTCTAGGTAAGACACTCTAGGTAAGACACTCTAAGTAATACACTCTAAGTAAGACACTGTAGCAAGTCTCTTACAGAGTAATAATAATAATAATAATAACAATAATAATAATAATAATAATAATAATAATAATAATAATAATAATAATAACAATTGATAATAATGATAGGCCAATCCTTAAGGATAATTGAGCGAATATTTTTTTTTATAGTCTGGTTGAATGTACCTTTGAAATTTGTGTACCATTTCTGTAAATAATTGGACGAATGAATGTACAAATAAATAACTTAATAGACATATGCACATAGGCTGAAATGGACATATACAGGAATGTAAACAGACAGATGGTGTTAAAGAGATGGGATATTAAACGTACAATACATTTATACATCATCACGAAACTTCATTCATTCTATACCTTACATCCCGACGCTTCTTTCTAGGTCAAGTGGATAAGGCTTTCCTGAGGCCACGAAAGCTAGTGGAAGTGTTGGCATACAAGCCCCACATGTCCACCACATTGCTGAATCTCATGCAGAAGCACCAGTTGCAGCCATCTGCTGTGCGACGGGTGGTGTTCACCTACCCCAGGGTGTTCTACCTGGAGGAGGAAGTGGTAAAGCTGCGCCCCAGGCTGACGATGTGTCCCTCCTACAGCGTGGCAGGTGAGTGTGACCTCGCAGACGAGTGCGAGACCCTACATTACCTGAAGGACGTGTGTACCTCAGACTCGTGTTTTAGAAGTCACGATTGGGAACAGCAGCCTAACTCGCGCATACTCTATAACCACTTCCTGGAGGAGCTGAACAACGAAGTTCTGTGCAAGATGGTACAGCTGGTGATCCAAGATTCAGACGAAGAGGAAAGAGAGTTGAATATCGATGGTCGCCTGAATGCATCATTGTGGACAATGAATTCAAACGGGGATGTGCTCGTTCCCGAGATCTGCTACTTCTCGGTGGAGGGACTGTGCAAACAGGAGAATGTCGGGTGTAGTCGCCTGCACGCTACGCGGCATTACCAGTGGCAGGTACGGGAGAAGGACGGCCGCTGGCAGAACCTCCAAGACGCCCAGGTGATGGCCCTGGAGCGCTCATATTGTGATCCAGCTCAAGAAAGTGTTCCCATGCCCCCACCCAATCCAACCACCTACCGTCCCCCACCCGGTTACCTGCTACAGATCATGGGCCGTGATACTTGGACTGCACATTTTGATACAATGACCATCACTAACACTTCTGGTGAAATACTGTGGTTGCGCCGACTGTGCACGGAGGAGAAGGAGGACACTGATGTGAAAGCAAGAAACTTTGTCTGGTATTTCTTAACAGAAGAAAATGAATGGGTGCCTTATGGAACACCTCACAACGACCTGGTAAGCAGTATAACTTGGGAAGAAATAGAGAAAAGCTTTAAAGAAGGGAGCAAAATTATATACTTCTCTACCGAAAACCACAAATACTCCATAGAATTCGCCACAATGACTCAAACGAATGATGAGAATGGCTCCCAGAAAGAGATCAGACGACGACCACAGCCACATCTTGATGAGGACGAAGAAAGCACCAGGGCTTCGTCTCCAGACTACGGAGAAGACGAGACCCCAGAGTCTCCCATCCCTTCATCTCTCGAAGGCGAGGACGAAGAGACCCCAGCGCCCTCATCACCAACCTCTACTTCTCCTTCTTTTCAAGGCTCCGAAATTGACCCGTCATTACCTGTCATCTGGGAGGACATGGAGTGTGTGGAGAACCTTCGTCTTGTTCCTCTCAACCCATACACTAATGAATATCGGGAGGTGATGGCACTCCTTGAGCCGGGATTGAGCAAAAGAAGAGTTTTGGGAATAAAACGAATACAAAATCGACAGTTGTGGCGCAAATTCCAAAAACGACTTGAAGAAATGCCTGATATTTACAACGGACCGGAACCCACCATACGGCAGCTGTTCCACGGAACCACAAAGGACGTGTTGCCGAAAATCTTCCGTAAGAACTTGGATCGGACGCTCCAGGGAACATCCTACGGGAAAAAAACAAGGTATGGCCATGGCACTTACTTCTTTTCTGACGTGGATAGGGCCTTCAGGTACAGTGTTCCAGACTCACGGTACGACAAGTCCTACCTGCTGGTGGCACAGGTGGCGGTGGCAGACATAACCAAGGGAGACGGCACAATGGAGAGTCCCCCCACCGATCCCGAGACCGGTGTCACTTCCGACACCACCGTCAACGATGTCGAAACCCCGACAGTTTACGTGAAGTACGACAAGAAAGAGTACTATCCCCAGTACATCGTGACTGTGACCTAAGCTTAGCTACAGTGCATTTTCTTAAAATAAGTGAAGCGTTACTCTTCCACGCCTCTCTCTCTTTCTCTCAGTTGTGCATAGAATGCATCTACGATTACCTAACCACAGAGATATGTGCGTCCTCAGAAAATGGAACTACTGAAAGTTAATTGCACCAAAAAAAAAATTAATAGAATACTGCGCTTTTCCCCGCTTCCTTCCTTGAAAATGAAGAACCCAACACACGATAACAGATTTATTTGTGAGCTTTCTGGCGCTCACCTGCGAGGTAGTTTAATTTAGGCAAAGACTTAGAATTTTGGAAAGCAAAACATACTAAATACTTCCACACTGTACGGTAGTTTATTTCTCTTCA